CAGAATTCATAGTTTAAAATAGATTCATGTTAAGAAATGCCCACAATGATTCACTCCACTCATTCTGTCTTACAGACAAACTGTCTCTGTATGTATGTGTGCATAAAAATACCCAGATTTTACTTTTATATATAAATCCGTTTGCAAAGCCAGTTTTCTTCATATAATAAACTACAAATAACTCAACAGAAACCAAAGCGCAACATCAAAACGAGATGCGAGAGGAAAAACAGACGGAGATGAAACAACAAAGATCTGAAACTTGCAAAATGAAAACTGTCCTGTGGTTATTACTCAGTAATGACCTGATGTGGAGCCAAATCTCTTCTGCTCGTTAAATCAATCAGCAGGTGAATTAAGGATGTGAGCTGAGCAGGTGCCTCCATCTTGAATTTCCTCTCCATTGTTTTAATGCTGATTTTAACGGCACAGCTGAGTTTATGTGGAGTGAAACATAAAATCGTCCTTTTTGCACAGTGACTGTGGGGCAAGTTGTTAAAATGTTCCTTCTGCTGACTCATTTCCACATCGTCATTCAGCTAATTGAAGGTGAGCGAGTGAAACCCAGACTGAAGGACCCAGACGGCCTCAGCTAGAGCGACGCGGCGCCACAGATCTGAGGTCAGAGGTCAGAGACCAGAGCAGCTTCAACTGACGGTTTATCTTTTTAAAACACAACAGTTTTATGGATGAGGGCCATGAAAAATCACAACATTTTAACTAACATGATAAGAATAAGATTGAATTATTCACATTTTAACAAGGTTTTTTGTGTGTCTAATTTCTTGTGCAAATATCTTAGTAAACTTGAAATAAAACAAAAATAACTTTTCAGTAAAATAAATTATCTTGCTTTAAGTAAATAATTCCTTGATGTTGATGAAAAAGTTCCAACACTGGCAGATTATCTCACTATTGTGAAAAAGAAATGAAATTGTTCTGGATGATTTATGAAACTTTAGGGGTTTTTACTCAGCACAGAAAAACCATGTCGGCCAGAATGTTTCTGGTTGACCTCTGACTTCTCCGTGTTCCAGATGCAGGTGCAACACCGACTGCTTCATTTACAGAAATGAACTCAAACAGAAGATGATTAAATATCATCAGATGAAGATTCAGTCTGAAAACTGTTTTGAGTCTCAGTCAGATTAAAATCCGCCGAACCCGTCAGAACTCTGCAGGATTTATTGGACTAATGAAGTTAAATGATTAGAAACTTCATATAGTTTCTTTAAAACAGAGAATTTAAATGGTGAAAATGTTTCAGATGTTCCTAAATGTTCACTCAGTAAATGTTTAACAGAACTCAAAGAACCTGAACTAGAAAAAGAAAATTTAAAATAACACAAGACAAGATTAAATTGTTTCAATAATATTAATTGAGTCCCGTTTTGATCGGTTTAAATGTTTAAATCATGAACCTGACTGGATCTGGACGCTCTGGGCGTCCTGCCGTGGATCTGGACGCTCCGCGCGTCCTGCCGTGGATCTGACGCTCCGGGCGTCCTGCCGTGGATCTGACGCTCCGCGCGTCCTGCCGTGGATCTGACGCTTCGCGCGTCCTGCCGTGGATCTGGACGCTCCGCGCGTCCTGCCGTGGATCTGACGCTCCGCGCGTCCTGCCGTGGGTCTGTGGGTGTCAGTTTTCCTGTTTCAGCTGCAGAAGTGATGAAATGATCCGCTTGTTCAACAGGAATAATAAAAGCGGAGGAATCACAGAGGATCCGTTTGACGGATTGGATTTTTATGTTGAGAAGATTAAATGAAAAAAACTTCCCTGATTTAATTTCTGAGCTTAAAACTTTCTGATGACGTTCCAGTTTTATCTTATTCATATCAGTTTATTATCAGGAGATGATCGATATCTTACGTGAAGTAGATTTTTCTTCAAGGAGAAAATGTTTTATTTGCATCATACAGTGTATCATAGTGAAGAAGCTGCAGAACAAACTAACTGTGTCTGCAGGAACTCGCTGTTTCTCCTTCCCTGCATGGAGACAGAGTGTTTAGTTTTTACTAGACATGATGGTGAATGAGCGTAAAATGCTGAACTGTTCTGTCTGTTTGTTTTCCTTCATTTGGTCCTTTAAGATTAAAACTCCACCTCTGTTCGCAGAGAGAGGTGAATAATGTAACTGAGTTTTAGAGCAGATTTTGATTTTCGCCTCATGCTGTGTATTTTTTGCTCTCCGTCTGCAGATGTATTAAAGATTGTTTTTGCTCCCTGAATTTGGACTCGATCTCAGTCTCTGCATTAAAGTTTCTCCAGAACAGAACCTGAGATTTCTCTTACAGCTGACCAGTTTTTACATGTCAACTTTTCAGCTAATTGTTTCCTGGTTTTTACAATATTATGATCTGAATGAGGATATTTATAAAGAAATGCGATTATTAATGGTAATCTTCATGTTTAGCAGCTTCTTCAAGCCTGTGGTTTAAATTACAGCTGAAATGAATAAAAACGGTGAAGAAAATCAGCCAAAGTTGTTAAGATCTTCAGAAAACTCCAGAAATCTGGGAAACAATTGAAGAAAACCGTTTTAAAAGAGAGTCTGGCCTTTAGTGGAGGTTTAGATGATATCTGAACTATAACGATAATAAAACTGAAGAGACATTTAGGAAGGAAAATGAGGTTTAAAGTGCAAAGGGATTTACTGGCCGTGTTTGTTCCTGGCCAGCAGAGGGCGCTGAAGATCACAACATGCTTTATGAAATAACTCGATGCTTTCATTCATCTGATGTTTATTCACGCGTTCATTATTTTAGCACATTTTCTGTTTCAAAAGGAAAACATGTAGCTTTCCAGTGACCTTGGGTTCGATTGAGTTCAAATATATTCTCAGTTTATTTTATTTGGCTAAACAAATAAAAGCTGATTTGGTGCAGAAAAGTTTGGCTTTTTAGCAAAAAGTCAACTTTTAGTATAAGTAGACATGATTCTACCTGTTATATAAGCTCAGTTATAAAAAAGACTAAAAATGTTCTTATGATTTTACAATGTAGGAAATTATGTTGGCAAAAATTTCACCCTTATTAAAAATAAAAAGTTTATTTCTGCATTAACCGTCTGTGCTGGTCAGAGATTTATCTTTCTTTGGTCGCCTTGTTTATACAGTCATGGTGTTTTACTGCCATTTAGTGAACATTTAAAATAATAAACATCACAATAAATCTGCACTTTGTACAGAAATATACAGAAGAGGATTAAGAAAAGCAAAAAAATTATAATTACAATTCAGATTCTAATCTCAGAATTCAGTTTTTTCTTTTAAAAATTAAAAACTGGTTAATAAAATGAAAGCAGCATATATAAACACACTGAGCTTCTGGATGCAGAGAAGAGGTGGAGCTATACTGGTCTGATCACTGGTCTGATCACTGGTCTGATCACTGTGGGAACGAATGAGAATCTGACACGTTCTCTTCTCATCCAATCACAGGACGAGCTGCTAATGCAGGAAGAGGAACTGATGGTCCAGTTGGACCAGTTCAGCTTCATCCTGGTCCAGTTCAGCTTCATCCTGGTCCAGTTCAGCTTCATCCTGGTCCAGTTCAGCTTCATCCTGGTCCAGTTCCAGCTCAGAACTGGTGTCTCTCAACACCATTTATAAATAACTAATAAAACATGTCAGATTATCTGTTTATGGGCCGAAAAGATGAAAAATAAACGTCGGTGTGATAAAAACAAACCATGAAGGTTCATTCCTGCTGTCAGAGAGACAAAGGAAAGAACAGCAGAACCAGTCGGATCACTTCACTCTGATCCCTCCGTAAAACCCAAACTGATCTGAGGTCAGATTTAAAACTGCTGCTGCTTTAGGCTGATCCAGATACAGAGGAACAAACAGAACAAGTGAACTAAACGGGATTAAAACATTTTTAATGAGAAAAATCTGTGATTTCTCTACGTTTGACACATTTCGGGATCACAATGAGATTTTCTTGGTCTGATAAAGTATATAAATGATGATGCAAATGGCCTTTATTCATTAGTAGCTGGCAGGAAGCAAAGTTTAGAGAAAAAGGGGAGTTATGCAGTTAATGGAGAATCTGATCGCAGTGGATCAGGTGGCTTTAGGAAAAGTTAAGATTTTAACAAATAGAAAGACGATCGTCTCAAATCAAGTTTCATTTCAGGAGAAACACCAACGCAGACGATGATGTTTCATCATGTTTTGTGTTTCCACTCCTCTGTTCTTGGCTGCAGCAGCAGCAGAATGCAGCTGAACGGATAACTGGGCGTCAGGAGCAAATTAAAAACCTGCTGGACCAGATTCAGCTCAGAACGAGGAACAGAGACGTCGATGTTTCACTCGCCATCAGAATTTATTTTCATCTGGACTTTCTGATGACAACGTTTGGTTTGTCTGAAGCTCAGCAAACTGCAGGATTTATTTATTTAACTTATTAAATAAATGAAAATGAGCCTTAAATATAAATTTGTTTCTATGATTTTTGCTTTTTATTGCAATGAAGCTAAATCATTTGAGTCTGAGAGATTTTGGTGAAAATCACAACAACTTATTTGACCTACTATATTGAAACTAAATGTCCTTAAACTATCCAGCTTTAAAAAATAGCATAAAATTATTTAGATTTTCTGCACAAAAAAGATTATATTTGCATTTTTAAAAATATAAACTTTGGGATGAACTGGAGACCAGACTGTTAGAAATAAACAAAGTTAAAATAAGTTGCCTGCAGAAAAAATCATGGCTTTATTTAGTTCATTGGTCTCTTAATTTCACACACAAGCAGCGCGAAGGCTGCTGGGTTTAGATTCATATTTACTTTTAGTTGTGGAAACTTTATGCAAATTTTACATAAAAACAGGAAAAACATGAAACCAGCTTGTTTCATTTTCAGTAGAAAATTGGATTTTATGTTAGCTTAAATTCAGAGACAGTGCAGGGCAGCACTCTTTAAGAAATGTGTTAAAATTTTAATTACAAAAACTTCTTCCAATAAAAACTTAATTTAACTTAATTTGTTCAAGGAGTTTTATTTTAACAGCACAAATCAAATATTTACATGAATTTATTGCAGTACAGCAGATTCAGACTGAAACAAAAAGTTAAAAGAACGAAGTTTAACAAAGTCAAACAGTAAACAAAGAGAAAAAAAAATCAACCAAAGGAACATTTAGTTGGATTAAATGAGAAACAGATATAAAGTAATGATTATACTTTTTTTTTACCCAAAACCATAAAGTAACATGTGATTCTTTAAAGCCCTAAAAATAAAAGAACCCAGAGAGAAGCTCAGAAACAGAAACATCATCCCGGAGTAAATCTTAGATAAACTAAGATTTAGTTTATCCAAGATAAACTCACCTTCATTATTAAGGTGAACGAACTTATGAAGCATTTTGCAGGTCGCGACGACCAATCAAAACGCTTTGTGCTGCAGCCTCACTCACCTGCTGCACCAGTGTGAGAGTGAGTGTGAGAGTGAAGGACTGAAAGCAGTATGAAGTGCTTTGGAGTCCTCTGAACTTGATAGTGGAGAATACCACAACAGGGATTTACCAGTATCACTTTCCATACTGGCAGCAACCTGCTCTTAGAGCCTTGCTCAGGGGTACTAAGAGTTTTTTTCCTGAAACTTTTCAGAAAAGTTTAACATTTAACCAACTTATTCTGAAAGTCTTTTCAGAATAAAAGTTGGTTGGCCCATCTGGCCTGCAGTCATAGTAAAAAGAACTGTACGTTTGTGGAGAGATGTGGGTTTTTCCTCTTTCCTGTGTCGCTTCTTTCCATTGAGGACGATGAAGGTTTATTTCATAGACACTTTTCATGTCTGACATTATCCTGGAGTTAAATTACCAGCCAAACCTACCATGACTTTGTCTGTGAGATCTTTAAGATCACTGTTTTTTTCTTTTTTGCATTTTTGCCGAACTACTGTTGTATACTTTAGTAGAACATCTCAATGTGTGGCTCAGTTAACACTTTCTTAGTGTTCTTGACATTTAACATGCGTATTAGAGTCTGTAGCGTCTGAGATGAAGCTCTTGGGTATTTTGCCGTTTCTCTAAGGGCGCCGACACGTTTCACCCAAAGCCAATCAGTCGAGGTGCAGTCACGTTGTTTCAACGCGTTTGTACTCATGCACATCTTCCATACAACGGCGCAGATTCTCTTCAGTTTTTACAAAACGATCACAGAAAGTGCCACAGTTTCTGCAGACGGCCTCCTCCGTGAATAACGATACGTTTTATTAAAGAATTGTAAAAATGCACATAATTCTTCATCACGACAGATAAATATTCCTCAAAAGTAACCGTGTCACCTGCAGATACAAAAATCAGATGGTGGAAGCGAACTGGTTGAAGAGAAATATAAATATTGCTGTCTGAATAAATTTGAGGATCATAATCATCTTCAAACAACCTGATGTGGCAGAACGTATTTGTAAAACTACCCATTACTATGTAAATAAAAAGCTGTCTCTTCATTCAAAGTGTACTTCTTAAAATCCTTTGACATTGATGTAATTTGACGCTATGCATATAAAAACTACTTTGATTTGATTGATAATATTTAAGCACACACCTGTTATCTTTAAGTTTTGTCTTGAATTTGACATAAGTTGGTTAAATGTTTCATGTTGTTAATATTTGTTTCCAACTGTGGAACAATGGGATTTAAACTGCTTGGAAGTGGAAATTTTTGTCTAGATTGCAGAACAGCAATGTTTTCTTTTCTGAGGTCACTGCTAATATTTTTCCATGTTTGCAATATGTTTGTTTACTGAATATTGATATATGAACCCTGTTGTGTTTGCGCACAGTTGCAGTTAGATATATACATTTATATAAAAGATCGTTCTTGATACTTGATCAAGAACGATACTTGATGTACATCAAGTACATCAAGCCCTAAAACTGAAAGCAGGTGTACTTTCTTTTTACCATGACTGCATCTCTTTTTGACCAACATTATGCATTCATGCATCATTTGTAGGTCTGACTTTTTTTTTTCTTTCACATTCACTGGAAATGTCGCAGTTAAGAAATCACGAAAATGTGTATTTCCATCACTACTTAGGCATAATAACGTGAACACTGTTTTTTCCCAAGAACAGAGTGCAAAACGACCACAGTTTGGAGGTCGATAGTGTTTTCTTGGTTGAGTGTGTAAAACATTGTGAAAGTACTTTCTGAGTGTCAGTAGAACTGTAGCTCCATGAAATACTGTCGTTGGACATCACATGAATGTTTGTGCAGGTTGCATTTTTTTATCTCATGGAATAAATAATGCGTTCTCTGTAATGCTATTAGAAGCCAGAGATTGAGCTTATTTTTTGACTAAGTCTCTTTAGCGTTATGCTATTTGTAGGTGCTGGGAATCAGTCAAACTACTGACACAGAGTGCTTTAAACCCCATGAAAATGGGGGAGGAAAAACGGTTTATAAATAAAACCATAGAGAGAAACACGGTCCGTAAACCAAAAATACATCAAACAGAGCTTCCACCACTACAGCTGTTTGAACATTGAGTGAGGTAGGTGCAGCTGAAGTGGTTAGGTGGTGTGAAGCTACATTGGGTGCTGAGCTTCCAGGAAGCTCACTGCTTGAATGCTTAGCTTTTCTTTTTTTGTTTTAGAAATGTTCTCCTAGTTCAGAGGAGACATTGTGAGATAAGTTGTCTCTCAGACAACTGATCAACCGGGTAAAGTTGCAAAATGTAATGATGATGCCTATTACCACAAGTAAACCAAGTGACATACACATCCCAATCCATCCCCGTTCTGTTGGCTTTGGAGGTCCTTCTTGAGTTTGATGCATGACAGCTGCAAAAAATGAAACAAGAAGGAATACATTGTTGCTGTTTTTACAAAACACACAGATTGTTTGTATCAGGAGACACAAAAATAAAAAGATACTGACACTATATTGACCTCCAGCAGCTCCAAAAATGACTCAACCCCAGCAGCAAATTTGACTTGTTGACAAAATGTAAAATCATTCAGCAAGAACTCGAACATTAAACTGATTTGATCTGAATTAGTGAATTATTTCTGCTTACAATAGCAGCTGCAGCTTTGAACTAATTTAACCTCCTGAACATCAGAGCAACATGTCACCCAGGGCAACCAGCCATCATGTGACTGAGAAACAAATCCTGTCACACCTTTGTGTGGTAAGAGGAACTGTTTTACCATGGACTGACTGCAGTAAGGCAAATAAACGCTGAAGGGATCAAAGTCCAAAAATCAAGATTAACACCAGTAAAGGCACAGCTTATTTTATAATTTTGCTCAAACTATAAAATAAGTCAAAGAGGGTCAAAGGTTGGGTTCTGTGAAGACTCTGGATGCTCAGGCATTGGAAAGCAAGATGGAGGCATTTAAGTAGAAAATCCAATCAGAAACTGGACCTTAACCTGGACAAGCTTCTCTCAAAGTCAACAAAGGCTTGGTTTCAGAAAATAAAACATGGCTTAAAAAAATCTGACTTTGCAATGCAGTGGCTTGAAATTGGGCCTCTGTCTCTTTAAGAAGCTCCTGCTCTTTCGGACACTTTGCCTTCAGAAAGTCATCATAACATGGCTCCTTTATAAAGTATGTCAGTCAGCCTCACGTATGCGATGCTAATTGTGCTAATGGAGGAGAAACAACTCTTTGTTACAGGTAAAGCATTCATCTGCCGTCATTGGTAGCTATGCTAACTAGCCTTAGCATTCACAACAGCCTATGCTAGCTGTAGCATAGCAGAGAGCAAGGCAGGGGATGAACAGCACCACCCAGGTGATTGACAGCAGTAAGACACGCCTCCTGGCTCTGATTGGCTGTTTCCAGTTGGGACTGAGAGCACTGGGAGGAAGTAATTGTCTTCCATCTCACACCATACTGTCACAAAATGGTGGCAGTTGCAACAAATGTGAAAAAAAAATATTCATAAAAGTTAGATACCTCAGCTTTAACCCTTTAACAACATTTTTACCAGTAATGCACTGAGATGTAACTCATATAATGAGCCCAGATACACAATTCCACTGGGTGTTTGGTAACAGCTGCTGGCTAATCTGAAGGAGCTGCTTTGCTTTGATCAGTTTTGTTTAATTCATTTTTTGTAGACAGCTGATAGTGGTTTTTCTCTGGCAAACAAAGCTCGAGTATTTGTTCATTAATTCAGGTTTCACCTGAATATTGTGACATTATCTGTTACATGCATCAGCTTGTTTCCATAAAGAAGAATTAAAACGAGATTAAAGATTTCTAAATGTATCTTTTGTTTGCAGGTGAATATGATACTGGTTTACCTTGGATTATATTGGTCACGCTTTGATTTGCATGTGTCAGTTTTTAGCTTACCTCCAACTACAAGCTCCATTTTTGTGAGGTTACTTCTTCCTTTACTGACAACAATCAACTGATACCATCCTGCGTCGCTCAGCCTCAGGTCAGACAGGAAACACTCAATCCACCCATTCCTGTCCAGCTGGAGGTCGCACTGGAGTCGACCTTTGAACTGATCATTTATATACGGATCAGGCAGATTTTTGCTGTCATACAGATAAATGCTCCTCTGTGACTCTATGACCATCAGATCGATGTACAGTGAGTCAGAGGTAGAGTTAACTGGAAACGAAAGTGTGACGTTTGAGTGTTCCTCTGCCTGGTATTGTTGCTGAGTGTTGTTCACAGACAGCAGAGGCCTTCCTGCAGGAGTCAGAATGATAAAGTCAGCTCTCATCATTATATTTGGAAAAACTCTAAAGTCTCTAAAGACGAGGAGAAACTGACTTTAAAACCTAAACAACAAACCCAAAGTGGCCACCATGCTCTCTGGCTTCATACTGAACATTTTATGTCCAAGAAAACGTTCAACACAATTTATGTGGTGCTTAATAGTGAAGTGCGCTGGCAGAAAAACTCCAAAAGAAGCATTTCAGGTTTTCAGTAAAATCTGAAATCTTTACTCTGATTCCCATTAATAAAATCAGTAGACTCCAACTGGCACAATGCAAAAACACAAAATCTTACCAAATATTTTTGGTCTTAGTGCATTTGAAACATGACAAAATTAACTTACTAAAAACTTTCCAGCAATGTAGGAACTTATTTTCAGTAAATAAATCCTTAATACTGATTATAAGATAATTACTAGTTCCACTGCCAAATTATTTCATTTACAGCAAGACAATTCTTCCATAAATGAAATAATGTCCCTTTGCAACTAGAATCTTTTTCATCCATATTTGGGAAGCACTGATTTAAACAAGCTTCAATATCTTACTGAAAAGTTACTTTTAAGTTAGTTTTGTCTTGTTTTAAGTGTATTAAAACATTTGCACAAACATGTAAAACGATCAGATGAGACTCATCCAAAGTGGTGAAATAGTCTCTCACTGTCACAGATACGTGACAAAAATTGCGTCATTTTGTTCGCAGAGTGTCATTTGTGTGTCTACTTCTCAACGCCAGTTCCAGGTCGAACTATTTCATTAATTTATAAACATATTTGAAGCATTTTGCGATGCTGATAAGGGTGCTTTATAAATAAAAGTAATTGATTGATTGAGGTTAAAAACAAATCAGAAGAAATCAGTTCCTCACCATCGGCAGCAGGACACAAAGCCCCGATCAGCACCGATAACAACAAGACAATCCTCCACATTTTTATTAACCTGCAAACAAGAAATTAGATGTTAATTTTATTCACTTTGAATCGTGTTTTAAAACCTGCTTCCATTTTATCTGTCATTAAAACGACTAAATGTTCAGTTTCACTTTTGTTTTCGCTCAGATCAGGTCGAGAAATGACGGATATATTATGAGCTGCACATTAAATAAATAGAAAAATAAACACTAAACCAAAATGAAAAGAATTTTTCCTTTGAAAAGTTGAATTACCAAAAATACAAACAATAAAACAACATTACACAACTAGCGATTTAAAGACATTACAAACATTTTAGCATCAGTTATGATGAACATTAAAACATACACAAGTCCAGGAGAGCAAATTTAACCTTTCCACAAAGCAGATTGTTTACATAAAGATCAATTTATGAGAAAGGTGAGCAACAACTCACATAAAATTACTCAGAGAAAAATTTCCAAATTTTACTACATGACTCTGCTCACCTTCGACGATTAGTTAGTTTAGTTACTTAATTTTTAGGAGTTTCCTCTGTAAGAATTAAACCGAACTCCTCGGTCCGTCGATGCTGATCTGCAGTAGGGAAATGTTTAGATTGCTTCCTACTTTGACTGAGCCAAAGCCACACCTCCAGGAAGCTGCCTTTATTCCTGATAAAGACAGGAATAAACGTCTTTATCAGGAATAAAGGCTGATAAACGTCTTTATCAGCCTGATAAAGATAAAGACTGATAAAGACAGTTATTAAAGTGAACAGATTTTTATTTGTTCACCTTAAGAACAAATAAAAATCTACTTTATTAAGCAGATTTTAGATTCTGCAGCAATGAAGGTTATGCTTTAGGCTAGAAAAGTCTGAGGTTTTAATGCAGCAAACATTTAAATAAGTTTATACATTTTGATCTTTTTAAAAGAAAACAAAATGCTCATAGAAGTAGTTCAAGCAGAACTACTGCTTTATAATCTCAGAGCGCCACCATCTGGTCAAATTAAGCAAAATGTTACTGAAGAAACAAAAATAATATATCATGACATAAAAAAAGATACATTTCCTGAGATTATTTGTTAATAAATATAGATTGGTTGAAACTGATCACATCTTCACCAGCTGGTGCAGCGTTAAGGTCAAAGGTCATCCTTCTTGACCTGATATGACAGGTCCAATAATTCAATGCATCTCAAGAACGACAAGGTTTGCTTGACTGGTTCTGGAATCGAAATAAAGTAATGAAAACTGCAGTAATCTAAAAATCTACGCACTTTTCAGAGACAGCAAATAAAAATAACAGAGAAAAATGTAATATATATAAATGCAACAATGTTGTAAATGTGAAGTTTGTCAAAATTTGTTCTTTGACTTTATTTTTTATGCTTCTTTAGTCTTTTATTGGTGCTTCGGGTTTTGTGATGTTGCTCCCCATATTAACCGTCTCCTTCCTCTGTTGTCTGTTACTGTGGAATCTATCAGAATAAGCTGTGTTTTCTAACTAGACTCACCACTACAAGAAGAAGAAATTTGTTGACAGAAAGGGGAACAGATTCTGTTAAGGAAGCCTGAATCAGAAGATATGATTCAAGCACTTATAAAATATAGACAAAGAGGTTAAAAGTAGAACAAAAGTAAATCCAGTAGTGCAATAAATTACCTTTCTAAAGCATGATAATGATGGTGTATTCAAAAACACTTATTTTTCTTAAATCAAAATACGATGAGGCTTTTTTGTCAGCTCAAATTTTGTAACATTGAGGAAAAAAATTTTTTAAGTTACAGGAGAAATGTTTTTATGAATTATTCTGATGTAATACTGTCCTGGTTGTTTGTCCTGTTTGTCTATGTGTTGTATGAAAATTGAATGTTTTCATACAGCTGTTGGTAATTACAAGGCTTATTTTTGTTTATTTAAATCAGTTTGATGAGTCAGAAACAGCAAAACCACAAGAAACCTGAAAGAAAATGTTGCTAATCTGAAGGATTATCATTTTCTTGGATTGCTGCCAGTGTGTAACTGGTGTCAAGACTGTCTAATCTTTCTCAGTGTTAGGAGCCCACCTACCAGTAGTGGGATCACCAGAAGGGTTGCCAGGCCTATTGCAGGAAACGGCATCACAGACCTCCCAACGACAGATGCAGAAAATTCATCAACTCTGTGATAAACTCTTCTTAACGTTTTCTTAAAAGACCCAATAAAAGTGGAAGAATGTTCTGAAGTCTCCATAAAATCATGGGGAACTTCTTGAGTTTCTGTCACCTCAGCCAAGGCTCGATTAGTGATTTGAGAGATTAGTTCCCTCATCTCGTCAGAAAAAATATCCAACCTCACGATGATTGAAGGATTTGTTTCTGGTATTTCAATCAAAACAGGATCTGCTAAAGTTAATGGGGTGCTTTCATACAACTTTCTGAGTCCTACAAATGTTTTACCAGTGCTGATAACGTCCTCCCTGGTCAGTGACTTATCTTCTCGTATCGTTTCAGTATAAGAACTCGTACTAGGAATCGGTAGGATTTCTTCAATACTTGGTTCTGGTTCTGTCAGGGTTCTGCGGTCCTTTGGTTGGTCTACCGTACGGTCCTCTGCTTGGTCCAACCTATGGTCCTTTGGTTGGTCCAACCTGTGGTCCTCTGCTTGGCCCACCCTACGGTCCTTTGGTTGGCCCACCCTGCGGTCCTCTGCTTGGCCCACCCTACGGTCCTTTGGTTGGTCCACCCTACGGTCCTTTGGTTGGTCCAACCTGTGGTCCTCTGCTTGGCCCACCCTACGGTCCTTTGGTTGGTCCACCCTACGGTCCTCTGGTTGGTCCACCCTACGGTCCTTTGGTTGGTCCAACCTGCGGTCCTCTGCTTGGTTCAAACAGAGGACCGCAGGGCTGACCAACCAGAGGAGTTCTGGTTGGTCAACCATGAGGTCCTGTGGTTGGTCCAACCTGTGGTGCTGTTGCTGCCAGTGAAAAAGGCAGAATATACATCTTCCACAGTAGAAACAGTCAGCTGGACCACGGGGAACATATATTCCCATATCTCGAAGAGTTTCGCGAAGGAAGCGATCCATCGGTCTGCTGCGTCTCACTGTGAGGTCCTGTTCTGCCCAGTGGAAGAAGCAGAACCAACCATCTCCACAGTATGAACAATCACCTTCTTTGGGAAAATAAATGCCCATGTCTCGAAGACTATCGGTAACAAAGCGATTCATTTTGAGAGGATTTCTACCAGATTTCTGTTTGTGCTTCTCTGATAAACAGATTCCACAAAAATGGAAGAGTTGGAACACTGACTGCCTGTTATCTCACAGCTAATCAAAGCAGTTTGACGTTACCTAGCAACGTCAAACTCTTGGTGTAATTTCAAAATAAGAGCATTTTAAACTGAACGTATTTGATCTGACACAATCAACTGATTCAGCTCAGGAAAAATGATCTGCAGTGTGTCGGAATAATTGCTGACCTTCCTAAATAGCTAAGTTACAGTTGAACTAAATGAAATTAGCAGGCAGGTTAAGTCCATGATGTATGCTGACAGATCTGGTTCACTGTTAGTGTTTTCCACCTGAGACTCCTGAGGAAATGATGTTAGAACAGTTTTCTAAAAGATACACCATTATTTTAGGAAGCTTTTTGAATATAATCTGGTGTTATAATAATCCAGTCACAGAGATTATAGAACATCTTCTTCAAGAGATCAAAAACTTTCCAATTGAAGTAAAAAGTAAAACAACAAAAATGATTTAAGAAAAAGCAGCACAAGCTGCTCTTCATCCTGACTGATGCAGAGTTGCTTCTCTTTCTCTTTGAAACTGTTGATGTTCTGGTTCCTCTTTATCTAAACTGGAGTTCTCTTCCTGGTTGCTGAGGTCATTGAGAACCTCTTCCTCTTTACACACACAGTTTTGTAGAAAATATGGACAAAAAGATGAAACAAAAGCAATAAGATATGGCCTGGCATAAGGAAGATTTACTTATATATTTTTAAAAATTAAAAAATTCCCTTCTCACTGTTGGAATAAGAATTTTAAAGTAGCACAATAGTACATAAGTTAACTTTTAGGTTAAGATAAACTTAGATACAGATCCAAACTGGGACAGCTGGTGACTCTCTGAACGCAGAGGAGTAGACAGAAAACAGGCCTAGACTCCTTGGATCTCTTTACATAGGGAGCCTGTCTGCCAGGCAATTAACAAATTCCTGAGCATGGTTCAAAAGTTCACTAGGATCTTAAAACTTTTTATAAATAATTTTATCTATATTAGAATTAACTATATTTCTTTAAGCATGTTTTGAATTAGTTACTTATTAGATCCAAACTTATAGTCATTATTTAGCATTACATTTTGTGCAAGCTTGGTTAAAAATACAAACTACTTTCTTGTGGAAACATTTTGAGGCAGAGATAGCGCTGCAGCTGCAACTCATATATCAAACTGGACAGCGGCTGGTACGAGAAGACTGGGCCATATATCTGCTTTTGGGGCTCCTTAGCAGGAGGTAATAAAATTAACATTAAGACAGCCCACACAAAGGAAAAGAACACACCTCCTAATACATATATTTAAATGAGGAGAATACGCAGTCTATAAAAAATGGTTTGTTTCACAGCAGAAGTTGAAATCTCTTTGTGCTGAGTGAGAGTTTCCCGGAGGATGCATCTTCTGTTAATCTTTTGTCTTTTTACTCAGTTCTTTGTCTCTGTTTTGTCATGTCTTGGACTTTTGGATAATCTAGGGTGAGATGCTTGTTGTAACATTCTGAATTGCATTGAATTTCTCTGGATAAAACTCTGAATATCTGAAGTCTGACGTCGTATGATTGCTCTTTTCTCTCTGCACACTTACACAGACACATGAATTCGGGACAAAGAATTAATTAACGAGCTAAATCAAGTTATTCCTCTGTTTAATTCTTAACATCACCCACCGCGGGTGGTTCTTATCCTCTGAGCTCGGGTCCTCTACCAGAGGCCTGGGAGCTTGAGGGTCCTGCAGTATCTTGGCTGTGCCAAGGACTGCTGCACATTTCTGGACTGAGATGTCTGATGTTGTTCCTGGGATCTGTTGTAGCCACTGCTCCAGTTTGGGGGTTACTGCCCCGAGGGCCCCGATGACCACAGGCACCACTGTGGTCTTCACCTTCCAGGCCCTCTCCAGTTCTTCCCTGAGGCCCTGGTATTTCTCCAGTTTCTCGTGCTCCTTTTTCCTGATGTTGCAATCACTTGGTATTGCTACATCTACCACAACGGCTTTCCTCTGATGTTTATCCACTACGACAATGTCTGGTTGGTTCGCCATTACCATTCTGTCTGTCTGGATCTGGAAGTCCCACAGGATCTTAGCTCTGGCGTTCTCCACCACCTTTGGGGGTGTTTCCCACTTTGATCTCTGGGTTTCCAGTCCATATTCTGCACAGATGTTTCTGTACACTATGCCTGCCACTTGGTTATGTCGCTCCATGTACGCTTTCCTGCCAGTATCTTGCACCCTGCTGTGATGTGCTGGACTGTCTCAGGGGCCTCCTTGCACAACCTACACCTTGGGTCTTGTCTGGTGTGGTAGATCTGGGCCTCTATTGTTCTGGTGTTTAG